CTCCCCCTCCCTTCGTTTTCCTCGTCTGTCTCGTCTCCCCCCTCCTCATCCCAGGCTCCTGGCGTGCCCTCTCCCTCCACAGCGCCCCCTGCTGCCGCAGCTGCTTCTGCTGAGCGTCTCTCCCTCCCCGTGGGTCTGGGCCTGTCGGGGCCGGGGGAGCCGGACACGGTGGCAGGTCCAGAGCCCCGCTCAGGTCGGGGGGGCTCCTCCTGTCAGCCCCAGCCCCAGGGTAAGACCTTCAGTCTGGATTCTGCTTTCCTTTGCTCTTCTTCCTTCTGTCTGTCTCTGCCTCTGGCTCTGGCTCACACACCAACAGAACAAAGTCTGCTCTCAGGTCAGAGTTTGTCTCGTCAAACAAGTTTCACCTCTCTGAAGGTAAATACATCAGCCCTGGTGGCTGTAAGGTATTCTCTGATACAACACACTCTGTGTAAGTGTGTGTGCTGAAGATGTTTGTTGAATATAAATGTTTCTGTGGTTCTGCACGGCCCCTCTCGTCCTGCAGATCGCTGACTCAGGTCCGTGTAAAGCCAACGCCCTCTTACATCTCTTTGCTCATTCGGTTTTCCATAATCAGTCCATCGTTCATGTGTTTTCCTCCACCGTGCAGCTTCTGTGATCTGACTCTGTACTGACCCTTTATCTGAGCCTTCAGTGTGTGTCAGAAGGCTGAACCACCAGACCACTAACCAAACACATCCAAACAAGACTTCTGATCATCAGTATCCAAAACCACCAACAAGGTGTCACTTCTAAGGCCTGATGGGTCATCTTAACCCAGGGGTAGCAGGAGGGTGATTTTATTATTATATATTACTTTTAGTGGCTTCAGGAAATATTCAAACCCTCTCACATTTTTGCAGATTTGTTATGTTGCAGCCTAATGATGTAATTGTTTACAAATACTCTTTTTAAAAAAAATAGATTATTTTCTTCGTTATCATGGGATGCTGAGTAATTTAATAAAAGTTGAGTCAGGTTCTCTTGACAGGTTCTTCTTTGTTGAAACCCTTCGTCTCTCCTCCAAGAGACTTCTTCAGTCTGAGTTTCAGGTAAACCCAGCCTTATAAGCTCCGCCTCCACATGGTGGATCAACTAATTTACTGATGACATGCACCGTTCGCATGCAAAAGAGGACCATCAGCCTAACAACCTATCATTAGTGCTCTGATTGTCCCGAATGTCCACAGAGCGCTGAGTCATACTTGCAATAACAGCATTGTAAGAGGGGGACAACACGGAGGTCTGCACCCATTTCAATATGGACGTTTTTTCTTCACAAAAATGTCTTCTTTTACTCCTCTCTCAAACCAACGTTCCTCTCTATCAAGAATGAGAACATCCTCATCTCTGAAAGAGTGACCGCTGNTCTATGTTGTAGTTCTATGTTGTAGTTATATAGATGTAGTTGTAGATCTATGTTGTAGTTCTATAGATAAAGTTGATCTACATACTATATCTATCTATCTGTACATACTATCATGACGTCACATGACCATTTTGAAACCACCAAACATCTTCAGCGTTATGTTCCAGTGTCCAGTTTACATGGAGTTCAAACGATGAACTACAGGATGTCATAGGATCTCTAACTTTGTGTTTTAATGATTTCTGGATGATTTAATGATGAATCCTTCTGGTGTTTTTGTTTTTAATAAAGTACAAGCCATTTTCCTGAAAGTTTGAAAATAATTGTCTTCACTTCTCCGTCTCCTCACCCACCCCCCACTTATTATTCCTCCATCAGACATGGTGCAGAGTCCAGTGCTGACTGCCCCCACCCCTCCCCCACCTCCACCCCTGCCACCCGGCTCCACTGTGACTTCTGCGACTGCCACCCCAGCCATCACCCCCACCACTCCAGTCGGCCATCCTCCTCCTCCACCTCCTCCTCCACTCCCTCCCACTCTGACTCCAAACGGAACACCCCCTCCACCACCAGGTCCAGCTCTTCCACCCGGAGCACCACCACCACCTCCGGCACCCCCTCTTCCTGCTGGACTGTTCTCTCCTACAGAGGACCGCCCCTTCTCAGGCCTGGCTGCCGCCCTCGCTGGAGCCAAGCTGCGCAAAGTGCCAAGGGTGAGCGTTTCCCTGACGGACCGTATGAGACCGCATACGGCCTCTAAGGACCAGTTAGTAATGATGAGGTCACACACCTAATGTAGATTAATGTCTTTGGTTTCTAGAGAAGAACACTGACCCACACACCCATCACACAGGAACATCATGGATAGTCTGAACTGAAACATCAAACACACACACACACACGCTGTGCTCTCACACAGTCACCATCTGTCCTGTCTCACTTCAGCCTCACAGGAGCATCTTTCATAAGAGTGTGTGTCTGCCAAACACTCTGTGATGCCTGAAGGTAGAAATAGATTCTGACAAAAAGATGTTCAACAACAAATCTTAACAGAAACACACAACAACCTGAAATCTGACCAATAAAACACAAGTCAGCTTCAAGTTTGACCAGAAAAGCACAGGTCAACCTGAAATTTGACCAATAAAACACAAGTCAGCTTCAGGTTTGACCAGAAAAACACAAATCAACCTCAAGTCTGACCAATAAAACACAAGTNCCGCTGGCCTGTAAATGAGTGAAAACTGCAGAGTTCTGGCCATTAGATGTAGCTCGTCTGTGTTGGGACATTCTTTTGAACAGTGGTTGCTTTGTTTCCCCGATGTATAACTGGTCGCAGTCCTCCTGGCACTGACTGTAACAGCATATACAACATTACTCTGTGCCGGGGGGACCGTATCTTTGGGGTAAAGCCACTGGGACTTCATGTTTAGAGAATAAACATCTCAGTTTCTCTGAAACTCCCACAACATACGGAATGACCACTGTGAACAAGCTGCCATCAGAGCACTAAAGATCAGTCGTTAGGCTGATGGTCCACTTCTGCATGGAAACAACCAGTTTCAGTTGTCACTGTGAACTGGTTGGTCCACCACATGGAGGCAGTGCTTATAAGGCAGAGCTTACCTGCAACTCCTCTGACTGAAGACGTCTCTTGGAGGGGAGGTGAAACGTTTTAACCAGCCAGAGTATTTATGGGTTTGATGCAGCAAGGTTCCTACATTCTCCTTTGTAAATCCTCTCAGTCCAGTTGGATGGGGTTTGATGCTTGACACCCATTTTCAGGTCACTTCACAGGATTTTATAGGGTGGAGTTCAAGCCCTGGTTCAGGCTGGCCCACTTGAAAACACTGACAGTTATCCCTCAACCATTCCTGTGTTGTCTTTGCTGTGTTTTTTTGTCATTGTCATGTTGGAAAACCTTCAGTCCAGTCTAAGATCCTGAGTTCTGTAGAACAGGTTTTCATTGATAATATCTCTGCCACACTCACTTTACCCTCAACACTGACAAGTCTCCCTGTTCCTTCTGCTGGAAAACACCACACAGCATGATGCTGCCACTGCCATGCTTCACCATGGGAATGGTGTTTGGCAATGCCAGGTTTCCTTTAACCATAAGAATGTTGACCAGTCCATTTGATCTTGGTTTTATCAGACCAGAGAGTCTTGTTCTTCACAGTCTGAGAGTCATTTTTACAGTTTTCAAGTGGACTTTCAAGCGTTTTGCACTGAGAGGCTTCCTTCTAGCCACTCTGCTATAAAACCCAGGTTGGTGGAGTCCTATGGTTCCTGATTGTCCTGGAACTTAGAGTAATCCCATCAGACAAGGATCTCTGAAGTTCAGTCAGAGTTACAATGGAGTTCTTGAGTCTCCTCGTTCACCAAGGTCTTCAACACTTGATTGCTCGGTTTGGCATGGAGACCAGCTCTTGTAGGAGTCTTGGTTGTTCCAAACTTCTTCTACTAGAGAATTATGGAGGTCACTGAACTTCAAATGGTTTTGTAGCTTTCCCCAGATGTGTGTCTTGCAACAATCCTGTCTGTGAGCCCTGCAGACAGTTACAATTCTGTTTTCACACAGTGGATGAGGATTACAGAAGGACAAAAAAATGATTTAAACAATGTGGCATCAGACAATTGGCTGCAACATAAGTAAAAATGCTTTCTGAAGCCTCTGTAACTATTTCCACATCAACTGCCATCTGCAAAAACTATTATGTGCCCTTAAATAGTTTTAATTTTAGATCAGGCGGAAGGCATTGAAAACATTTGTTTACCTCATTATGCATCCAAACCTTTGTATTTGTATGCCTCTACACCAGCCCCCTGCAGCCCATCACCCTGAGTTGGTTTTCTGATCCACGGGAGGTTTGGTTAACACTGATTGGATCTTAAAAAACAAATAATTAAATAAAAAAACAGACCAGACTGTTTGTTTGTTTGTTTGTTTGTTTGTTTGTTTGTTTGTTTGTTTGTTTGTTTGTTTGTTTGTTTGTTTGTTTGTTTGTTTGTTTGTTTGTTTGTTGATCACAGTTCAACATGTGCACATTCTATCAAACGTTATTCATCATGGAAATGAGAGCATATTTGTTATTACCAGTTCATCAGAGCTTCTGTTATTGTTGTTGGTCATAATGCAGTGTTATTATTTATTGCATATATGTGTTTGAGAGTGTGTGAATGAAACAGTGTCCCGTCTTTAATAAATGTTTTCTTCGGCTGTTGTCTTGGCTCAGATTGTCACCACAGAAAAAGTCAGTTTAAAGCAGTGAAGTAATTGCCTTTTGTTCAGAGTAAATATAATGATTAGAAACATGGTAAAGACTGCCATCAAATATAATTAACGTATTCAATTTATGTTTCATTTAAAAATATACAGTTGTAGTAAATTGGTGTAGCTTCTTTGAATTTTAAGAAGTTTATATTACTTTTGTACTGGAAAGTGTTGTGTAAGATGTACAGTTGTAAAAATTGAAGACAATTTTAGCTTAATACTTACCCCAATACTTATTAAAAGTAGAAAATTGTCTGATTTGATTATCTATTTATTACAAACTCAGAACTACAATGATTTTTAACATTGTTTTTATTATGAATTTAACAAAAACTATTCGTTATCTGTCTATTTTGAGTCCATTGTTTCAAAATGAAAACGTTATTCATAAGTGAAAAATCCTTGCTGGCTGCCTGGAGTCTGATACTGTTAGTGAGCTTTACAAATTAAACTTAGCACAAAGAGTAAGAAAATTAGTGTTTGGTAGATTATTTCTTTGTTGTAGGAATGCTTCTTGGTAATAAAATCTTTTAGAGGGCACCTGAAGGCAGCACCACTACCAGAAGCTCACAAAAAAGAGCCAATAGCAACAGTAAAAATTGGTTAGCAGAGAAGATTTGGCAGATTTTTCATGTGTGGAACCCAGCTCTACTGCTCATCCTGCAAATGCATGTTCCTTACAAATGTGGCGCCATTTAAAGGGGAAATTAACAAACTTTCCAACAGTATAACATTCATTGTCAAGAATCATTGTTACAACAAAGAAATAATCTACCAAACACTAATTTCCTTACTTTTTGTGCTGAGTACAAATTGTTGAGTGTATTTACTTCTGTATTCTAAATTATATTTATATCTTGTGTTTTCTACTTTCTACATTCTATGTTGTAGTTCTATAGAAATAGTTTTTGTTCTATGTTGTAGTTCTATAGATATAGTTGTAGTTATGTGTTGTAGTTCTGTAGATATAGTTGTAGTTCTATGTTGTAATTATATAGATATAGTTGTAGTTATAAGTTGTAGTTATATAGATATAGTTGTAGTTATAAGTTGTAGTTATATAGATATAGTTGTAGTTCTAC